GGTGGGGAGGGAAAGATGTCTTTGGTGGTGGGGTCGGATTGCAGATGGCGGAAGTGTCGGAGGATGATGCGTTGGATCCGGAGGTTGGTGGGGTGGTACGTGAGGACGAGGGGGATTCTTTTTTGGTTTTTATTGCGTGGACGGGGTGTGAGGGATGAGGTGCGGGAGATGTGGGAGACACGGTTGAGGGCGTTCTCGACCACCGAGGAGGGGAAGTTACGGTCCTTGAAAAACGAGGACAACTGAGATGTACGGGAGTGGAATGCCTCATCCTGGGAGCAGATGCGGCGGAGGCGAAGGAATTGGGAATAGGGGATAGCATTTTTGCAGGAAGGTGGGTGGGAGGAGGAGTATTCTAGGTAGCTGTGGGAGTCGGTGGGCTTGAAATGAATATCGGTTTCGAGGTGGTTGCCCGATATGGAGACAGAGAGGTCCAGGAAGGGGAGAGAGGTGTTAGAGATGGTCCAGATAAATTTAAGGTTGGGGTGGAAGGTGTTAGTGAAGTGTATGAACTGTTTGAGCTCCTCGTGGGAGCACGAGGTGGCGCCGATACAGTCATCAATGTAACGGAGGAAGAGGTGGGGTTTAGGGCCGGTGTAGGTACGGAAGAGGGATTGTTCCACGTAACCTACAAAGAGGCAGGCGTAGCTTGGGCCCATGCGGGTACCCATGGCTACCCCCTTTGTCTGTAGGAAGTGGGAGGAATTGAAAGAGAAGTTGTTGAGTGTGAGGACGAGTTCGGCTAAGCGGATGAGGGTGTCAGTGGAGGGGGACTGGTCGGGCCTGCGGGACAGGAAGAAGCGGAGGGCCTTAAGGCCATCTGCATGGGGAATGCAGGTGTAGAGGGACTGGACGTCCATGGTAAAGATGAGGTGTTGGGGACCGGGGAATTGGAAGTTCTGGAGGAGGTGGAGGGCGTGGGTGGTGTCACGGACATAGGTAGGGAGTTCCTGGACCAAGGGGGAGAAAATGGAGTCGAGATAGTTGGAGATCAGTTCGGTGGGGCAGGAGCAGGCGGAGACAATGGGTCGACCAGGGCATTCAGGTTTGTGGATTTTGGGAAGGAGATAGAAGCGGGCAGTGCGAGGTTGGGGAACGATGAGGTTGGAGGCCGTGGGTGGGAGGTCACCTGAGGTGATGACGTTGTGGATGGTTTGCGAGATGATGGTTTGGTGCTCAGGGGTGGGGTCATGATCAAGGGGGCGGTAGGAGGAGGTGTCGGAGAGTTGGCGTCCGGCCTCGGCGATGTAGAGGTCAGTGCGCCATACTACAACTGCACCTCCCTTGTCCGCGGGTTTTATGGTGAGGTTGGGATTGGAGCGGAGGGAGCGGAGGGCTGCACGTTCTGCGGGGGAGAGGTTGGAGTGGGTGAGAGGGGTGGAGAGGTTGAGGCGATTGATGTCTCGACGGCAGTTGGAGATGAAGAGGTCGAGGGAGGGTAGGAGGCCCTGGGGTGGTGTCCAGGAGGAGGGGGTGTGTTGGAAGCGGGAGAAGGGGTCAGTAGAGGGAGGGTTAGGTTCACAGTTAAAGAAGTAAGCGTGGAGGCGGAGGTGGCGGAAAAACTGCTCTATGTCCAAGCGTGAGCGGTATTCGTTGATCTGTGGGTGGAGGGGGACAAAGGTGAGCCCTTTACTGAGGACTGACCGTTCATCCTCAGTAAGGGGTAGGTCTGGGGGGATGGTGAAGACTCGGCAGGGCTGGGTGCTGCTGTCTCCTCTGGAGCTGCTGGCTGTGGAGGTGGTGGGCGGAGCTACGTCGGCGTCGGCTGTGGGCGGAGCTGTGTCGGCGTCGGCGTCGGCTGTGGGCGGAGCTGTGTCGGCGTCGGCTGTGGGCGGAGCTGTGTCAGCGTCGGCTGTGGGTGGAGCTGTGTCGGTTCGGCTGTGGGCGGAGCTGTGTCGGATTTCACAAGTTTCAAAATCTCCCCTCCCCCCACCGCATCCCAAAACCAGTCCAACTCGTCCCTGCCTCCCTCACCTGTTCTTCCTCCCACCTATCCCCCCCTCCTCCCACCTCAAGCCGCACCTCCATCTCCTACCGACCAACCACATCCCGCCCCCTTGACCTGTCCGTCCTCCCTGGACTGACCTATCCCCTTCCTAACTCCCTACCTACACTCACCTTTACTGGCCCCATCCCCGCCTCTTCGACCTGTTTGTTTCCTCTCCACCTATCCTCTCCTCTATCCCTCTTCTATCCGCCTCCCACTCTCTCCCTATTTATTTCAAAACCCCCTTCCCCTCCCCCTTTTCTGATGAAGGGTCTAGGCCCGAAACGTCAGCCTCTCTGCTCCTATGATGCTGCTTGGCCTGCTGTGTTCATCCAGCCCTGCACCTTGTGAGGGATGCTTAATTGGCCATGAACCTATTGAATGATGGAGCAGGGTCAAGGAGCTGTATGGCCTACTTCTGTTCCTATTTATTATAGTCTTATGGCCTTATTCATTACCATCTGAGAGAAGAAATTCCTTATCATATCTGTTTGAAATATATAACTCCTTAATCTGACATTATACTGTCTGGTCCTTGTCTCTCCCACAAAGAGAAATCACCCTCTGCATTGATCCTGTCAAGTTCCTTAAGAATCTTGAACAAAAACAGAAGTTGCGAGAAAAGCTCAGCAGGTCAGGCAGCATCTCTGAAGAGAAAATCAGAGTTAACGTTTTGGGTCTGGAAACCCTTCCTCAGAACTGAATCTTGTATGTTTCAATAGGTTTGCCTCTCATTCTTCTATATTCAAAGTAGTACAGGCCCAATCAACTCAACCTAAAGATGCCAGTCTAATGATCCTTCTCTGGAAGCCTCCAATGCCAGTATACCTATTCTTACATAAGGCACCCAAACAGTATTCTAACTGTGGTCTGGCTAGTGCTTTGTATGGTTTTCAGAAAATCTCCCTACTTTTTGACTCCATTTCCTTTGAAATAAAGGTCAACATTTCCATTTGCATTCCCCATTATCTGCAAAACTTGGGCGGTAACATCTGTGATTACTGGATGAGTCAAAGAGTCAAAGATATATACAGCATGGAAAAGGGCCCTTTCGTCCAACTTGTCCATGCTGACCAGATATCCCAAATAAATCTAGTCCCAAAATTCCAGCAACAGTACTGAAGACCTGTGCTCCAGAACTTGCTGCTTCATTAGCCAAGCTGTTCCAATATAGGTACAACAGTGGCACCTCCCTGACAATGTGGAAAATTGCCCAGATATTTCCTGTTCACAAAGAACAGACGAAATCCAACCCAGATAATTATCATCCGATCAATCTACACTCAATAATTAATAATGTGATAGCTGTCACATCAGTGCCATCAAGCAGGACTTGTTCATCAATAGCCTGTTCACAGACAACCATTTTGGGTTCTGCTAGGGTCACTCAGCTCCTGACCCCATTACAACCTTGGTTCAACCATGGACAAAAGAGCTGAAATTGAGAGGTGAGGTGAGAGTGAGAGCCCTTGACATCAAGGCTGCCCTTGACCGAATGTGGCATCAAGGAGCCCCAGCAAAACTGGAGTCAATGGGAATCAGGAGAAAACATTCTGCTGGTTGTGGCCATATCAGGCACAAAGTAGGATGGATGTGGCTGTTGGAGGTCAGTTATCTCAGCTGGATTCACCTCTGCAGGAGATCCCTTGGTAGGCATTTTCTAATTAAGCTGTTTAGAGATGTTATTACTCACTTCCAGAACAGGTGGGACTTGAACCCAGGCCTTCTGGTTCAGAAGTTGAGACTTAGCTGCTTCAGCAATGACCTTCTCTCCATCATAAGGTCAAGAATGGATGTTTACTGATGAGTACACAATGTTCAGCACCATTTTTGACTCCTCAGATAGTGAAGCAGTCCATGCCCAAATGCAACAAGTTTTGGGCAATATCCAGGCTTAAGTTTATAAGTGGCAAATAACATTCATGCCTCACAAATGTCAGGTAATGACTATCTCCAATAAAAGACAACCTAACCATTGCCCCTTGGCATTCAATGGCATCACCATTGCTGAATCATGCACTATTAACGTTTTGGAGTTACCTTTGATCAGAAACTGAACTACACTCGCCTTATAAATGCTGTGGGTACAAGAGCAGGGCAGAGGTTAGGATTCCTGTAGTGAGTAACTCACCTCCTGACTTCCCAAAGCTTGACCACCTACAAGGAACAGGTCCAGAACTAAGTTACTGCGAGTTACTCAGATTGAATACTCTCTACTTGCCTGGATCGATGCAGCTTCAACAACGCTCAAGAAATTTGACACCATACAGTATAAAAACAGCCCACTTGATTGACACCATGTCCACAAGTACCCACACCCTCCACCACTAATGCTCAGTAGCAGCAATGAGTACCATCTACAAGATGCGCTGCAGAAATTCACCTAGACAGCATCTTCCAAACCGCTGATGATTACCTTCAAGAAAGACAAGGGAAGCAGCAGATACATGGGAACACCATCATCTGTAAGTTTCCCTCCAAGCCACTCATTATCCTGACTTAGAAATATATTGTGTTCCTTTGGTGTCACAAAATTCTGGGACTCCATCCCTAACTGTATCGTGGGATTATCTACACCAAATAATCACCTTCCAAGGGCAATAGGGATGGGAAATAAATTCAAGTATATTCTTTAGTCATGCCTCAAGACCTGCTGCAAGACAAGGTAGGCTGTATTATAGAGATAACAAGGTGTAGAGCTGGATGAACACAGCAGGCCAAGCTATCCTGGTTTAACCATTTTCTGATGAGTAGGATCACATTTCAAACCTTCATAATATTCCTTTCCCCAAAATTCTAGATAATATTAGTCAGAATTTTGTTATTTCACCCCTAGCATTCCTCTTAGAGTCAGAGAGACATACAGCATGGAAGCAGACCCTTCGGTCCAACTTTGTCCATGCTGACCAGATTTCCTAAATAAATCTGGTCCCATTTGCCAGCATTTGGCCTATGTCCCTCTAAATCCTTCCTATTCATCTACCCATCCAGATGCTTTTTAAATGTTATAACTGTACCAGTTAGCCCCAGCCTATTCAGCCTCTCCCTATAGCTCAAACCCTCCAACCCTGGCAAATTCCTTGCAAATATTTTCTGAACCCTTTCAAGTTTCACAACTTCCTTCCTATAGCAGGGAGACCAGAATTGCATGCAGTGTTCCAATCGTGGCCTAACCAATGTCCTACACAGCCGCAACATGACCTCCCAACTCCTATACTCTGACCAATAAAGGCAAGCTGTAAAGTATGAGGTTCTAATGATTCTTAAGTTATAGCAATTTCTTTAGGGTACCACTTCTCTTGGGATAGCAACCTTCAGTAGCTGCCCCATATACATACATTTTCCAATCTCAAAACTCACCCCTTTGTGAGTCCTGACACAAGTTATTTAGTATTAACCATTCTTCCATCACTCACTGTGAATGTGCTTCTCTCTTGCTCTTTGTTTTGCGAACTTTTTACCTTCATTGTCACATTTAGCCTATCAAATCTCCCTCTGTAGCTTTGCTGGATTCAGGAATAAAAAGGTCAGATCCCAGCAAATTGGTACCTGTTCATGAGATTATCCCCAGTTCAAGCTACGCATGAGCACTCCTTGAAAGATCAATTGATGAAATTAAACCACACAGATCATGCGAATCCCAAATTGATCCATGGCCCACTCTGAGCTAGCTGATCTCAGCTGGAGCAGCAGTAAGAGAAACATCATATTTAACCTTGGTGCAGTTCCACTATCGAGACAGAACCTTAGTGAAGGTCGTTATGCTGATCACATCCTGATGGAAAGTGGACATGCGATGAGAACAATATCAGGCTTTATTGTTATAAAGAAACATTTAAGGAGTATGAAATGCTGGATTAACGATGTTCATTCTTGTTTACTCACATCACTTGGACAGTTTGGACTAGTGTGTGCTGAGGCTTGGAAAGTGGACCTGTCCCAGTCTTGTCTAAACTTGGGATTTATGCTTGGAACAATATTCCTCGGTTTTGGAGCAGACATGTGTGTATAGTTCATATCTACACAATCTTTTTTGTCAATTGCATACTTGCTTGTATTTTTTTAATATATTGAAACATGAAATCTTTCCACTGCTTCTCATAGATATGGCAGAAAAAAATGCTTCTTGTTTTCCATATTTACAACCTCAGTTGCTGGACTCGCTGTGGCATTTGCACCAAGTTACCTTTGGTTCAACATCTTCCGCACTCTGCAGGGATTGTTCAGCAAGGGTGGTTGGCTGAGTGCCTATGTCTTAAGTAAGCTTTCTGATTATTGTATTTGTATAGAGTATTTGCACCTATGATGATTAGTGACATTGATTTACGATCAGCAGACTGTTCTGTTTATTACTTATTGGACTGGAATTACATTTAGTGACCTTAAAGTGTTCCATTGCCTGTGAAGTTCTTTTGGATGTCCTCATGAATGATGTTGTACAGAAGAGCATTTTTCTTTCCTTTTTGTTCTTAGTTTATATTAGACCGGTCTCAGTTGTTAATAATAGACACTCCTGTTTTAAAAGTGATTTAACATAAGATTATAACAAAGAGGAGCAGGATTAAGCCATACAACCCCTGGCTTCATCATTCAACGATCGTGATTACTGGCATTTCCTCTTAACTTCACTTTTCTGCCTAATCCCTGTGTTTCTCAATTCTCCTCGAGTTCAAACATCTATTTATCACAATATCTGAGTACCAACAGCCCTCTGGGGTCTTGGATAAGGGCAATTAATTAGTTGGGTAGTCATTTAAACCAACCTATCCAGATATGTTGTGATATACCTCAGGGGCAGGTAGGACTTGAATGTTGCCCTTCTGGCCCAGAAGTAGGAACATTGCCACTGTACCACAAGAACCCTCTAACCAGTCATGTATCCCACTATCAAGTGGGATGTTGGACTGATAAATCTGATACATGTATTTGTACATTGTCAGGGCGGACTGGTTGATTTTGTTATGAGGCACAACCAATTATAAACCAACTAACAAATGTGGTCATCAAGAATAATGGGGGAGGTATGTTCAAAGTGGTATTACTAATTTGATACATTGATTAGACTGAGAGAGCAGGCAATAATGAATGAACAGAATAGTTTTCCAGGAAGTGTCAATCGATTTCTTCGGATCACAAATACAAATATACAATCCCACTCTGATGAGTAGGTTTAACCCAATGTTCTGGACTTAGGCTCATTGCAGACTGATTCTCCAGAGAGAGTTTACCTCTAAACATTCCCTCAGTTTTTTCAGTGCAGGCTGACTTGCCAAATTAGTAATTGAGTTTCCAATATTACCTTGAGGAAGAAGCCAGCTCCTCTCCTGCCCTTAGTGGCCACGCTCACCGCTTGAATAAATCTCTTCATGGAAATTCTGAAAGAAAACCATTCCAACATCATACAAATATGCCAGTGGCATCAGCTATGGTTCCGTCAGTAGCACACTTGCCTCACAGGCTGATGGTTGTGGGTTTATGTTACACACAAGACACTCGAGTAGAAGTATCTACACCAGTGTGCAGTGCAGTACTGAGGGAGTGTTGCATTATCTGAAGGGTCGGTTTTCAGACTAACTTAGGCCCCATGTGTGTTTCAAGTTGAACAGAAGAGGTGCCATGGCACTATGAAGGAAGATGATGAGGAAAGTTATGCTCAGTGTTCTGGCCAATAACTAATGCCCAACTCTCATCAGAAAATCACATTATCTGCTGATTATCACTTTGCTGTTATGGAAGCTTGATGTGAGCAAACTGGCTGCAGCATTTCCTATGTTAAAATAGTGACCACACTTCAAATATAATTCATCAGCTGTAAAGTTCTTAGGGACATACTGAGATGGTGAAATGCAGTCAAAATACAAGAGTGGAATCTTATTGGGCACTGAGTGACATGAACTGTGGTGAGACTTGTAGCAGAATTGGACTATAATTGTGTCAAAGCTTATCTCAAAATTGAGGTCACTTTGCTCCATCTTTTATGTTTTTCACGATTGATGTGGCAAGATTCTTGCCAGGCAACGTAAAATGGCAATTGAAAGTGATTTAACACTTGTTAATACAGCTTGTTAACACCATAACTCACATCATTAATATTCAGACTCCCATCTTACCAAACTCACCAAACATGCTTGGTGTTGGGAAACCCCGGTAAGGAAACCAGAGCGTGTACCTGGCAGATTCAGCTCACCACTTGCTCCAAATGACGTCCATGCTGGGCACTGGGCAACAGCACCTCAGGGCATGATCCACAGGCACCAGGCACAAGCTTGAACACCGAAGGGTCAGAGTGGGGCAAGCAGGGTGGAGATGGAGAAAGTCAGCCACTTCTACAGAGTCCTTGAGTGTAAACTGAAGCAGGGGCTTGTGTGTCACTCCTTCTCTGGCTCCTGGAGCGCAGCCTTGTCTCCTTGTGAGGAAGGGGTACCTGAAACAGGGTCAACACCGCCTCTCTGTCACCATATCATCGGTCCTAGGGACCAAGCTGAAGTAGTGGGGTGCAGGTGTACGTACATCAGCCACTGGAGATACTAGACTTGGATCTCCATGGCAGTTACTAACCTATCCTCGGAGGCAGCCAGATGGACACAGGATTTGCTACATTGCTGCAGTCTCTGAGCAATAAGGGTCATTACATCCCAAATCCCTGTCTGCTGCCATTCTTTATGCCTGTGCACATGGATGCCAGCTTTCCCACCCTGGGCCAGTCCACTGGCAGTCGTCTGAGTGCCAAGGATCTGGGGAGTTTCTTCCTCAGCCAGCTGTAGAGTGTGGACCATCCCTCTTTATCATAAGTAAGTTTTAGGAAGTTAAAATCAGACAGGGCCCATGTGGAATATAAGGAAAGCAGGAAAGAACTCAAGCAGAGAATTAGGAGAGCAAGAGGGGGCTGTGAAATGACTTTGACAAGTAGGGTTAAAGAGAATCCCAAGACATTCTATACATACATTCAAAGCAAGAGGATAACTAGTGAGAAGGTAGGATCACTCAAGGATAAAGGAGGGAACTTGTGCTTGGAGACAGAGGATGTGGGTGAGATCCTAAATGAGTTCTTTGCACCTGTATTCACCCAGGAGAAGGATATGGAGAATAGTGAGATTTGTGTGGAGTATGCTAATATGCTAGAGCATTTTCAGATTGAGAAAGAAGTGGCATTGGGTCTCTTGAAGAGCATTAAGGTGAAGAAGTCCCCAGGACCTGAGGGTATCTATCCCAGGTTAGTGAGAAGGGCAAGAGAGAAGATTGCTAGCGCCTTGACCAAGATCTTTGTATCTTCATTAGCCACTGGAGAGGTCCTGGAGGCCTGGAAAGTAGCTAAGTTCAAGAAAGAGTTCAAGACGGGAAATAGGGATAATTCAGGAAACTATAGATTAGTGAGTCTCACGTCAGTGGTGGGGAAGCTATTTGAGAAAATTCTTAGGGATAGGATTTATGCACATTTGGAAAAACATGACCTAATTAGGGACAGTCAGCATGACTTTGTGCAGGACAGGTCACGTCTTACTAACTTGATTGAATTTTTCGAGGAGGTGAACACAGGTGACCAATGACGGTAGAGTAGTGGACATTGTCTGTACGAGTTTTAGTAAGGCTTTTGACAATGTCCGTCATGGTAACTCATCCAGAAGATTAAGATGCATGGGATCCACGGTGACATGGCTGCGTGGATTCAGAATTGGCTTGCCAATAGAAGGCAGAGGGTATCGCTGGAACGGTGTTTTTCTGGGTGGAGGTCCATGACCAGTGGTGTTCAGCAGGGATCTGTTTTGGGACCACTATTGTTTGTGATATATATAAATGACTTGGATGAAAATGTAGATGGGTGGGTTAGTAAGTTTGCAGATGATGCAAAGATCGGTAGAGTTGTGATAATGTAGAAGGTTGTCAAAGGACACTGTGGGATATAGATCAGTTGCAGATATGGGTGGATAAATGGCAGATGGTGTTTAATTCGGCTAAGTGTGAGGTCCTGCATTTTGGGAGATCAAATGTTAAGAAAAAGTATACAATGAATGGCAGAATCCTGAACAGGATCTTGGGGTTCAAGTCCATAGCTCCCTGAAAGCGGCCACGCAAGTAGATAGGGTGGTAAAGAAGACGTATGGCATGCTTGTCTTTATTGTTCGGGGAATTGAGTACAAGAGTCAGCATGTCATGCTGCAACGTTATAAGACTTTGGTTAGACCACAATTACAGTATTGTGTTCGATTCTGGTCACCACATTACAGGAAGGATGTGAAAGTTTTGGAGAGAGTGCAGAAGAGGTTTATCAGGATGCTGCCTGGATTAGAAGGTATGAGCTACAAGGAGAGGCCAGAAAAGCTTGAGTTGTTTTCTCTGGAGTGGCAGAGGCTGAGGGGAGACTTAATAGAAGTCAATAAATTCTGAGATGCATGGATAAGGTTGATGGTCAGAATCTTTTTCCCAGAGTTGAAATGTCTAATATTAGAGGGCATGCATTTAAGCTGAGAGGGGGCAAGTTCAAAGGAGATGTGAAGGGCAATTTTTTTTACACAGGGAGTGGTAGGAGTCTGGAACGCACTGCCAAGGTGGTGGTGGAGATATGTACAATCGTTTAAGAGACTTCTGGATAAGCACATGAATATGCAAGGAATGGAAGGATATGAACCAAGGCCAGGCAGAAGGGATTAGTTTAATTTGACGTCATGTTCGGCACAAAACTGTGGGCCAAAGGGCCTGTTCCTGTGCTGTACAGTTCTATTTTCTATGTAACTGTTCCCACCGAGGTATCAGTATCTGGGCTGGTGGGTGTTGCTGATACATCCTCAGAGGACGAACGCACTGTCAACCTCAGATCGAGGATGGGGCTTCTGGTGGGGTCAGAGACTGGGTTGAGGCTTGTGGAATCTGCAAAGAAAGAGAGAAGGCATCGCAGCCAAAGTAAGAGTGACAGTGTGCTTAATGGGAGAGTGGCAGTGGCTTGCAGAGCGATCGTTACTCATTCCCAATCTTCTTCTGGGTGGGCAAGTCTTCTCTCCTCTTAGTGGGTAAGGAGTCCGATATTGGGCACAGCTCCACCCACATGAACTCACTCTGCTCTGCTATGGTCTGTCCTCTCAGGAGGAGGGATTAGGAGTGAGAAGGCAGTGGGTGCACGTGGGGGAAAGTACAGTGAGGTGGACTGAAGGACTGAGGAGGTTGCGCAGAGACATATAAGGTTAGTGGTATAGGAGGCTGGGGGAAGAGAGCGATGGAAGATGTTGCAAGCATTACTGAGATTGGCAGAGCAAGAGACTATGTGCGCAGTGGTAGAGATAGAGTGAGTGATGGCAGAGAGAGAAGGTCATTGACCTTTTGTCAGCACTGCCTGGCATTCCTTTGTCCCATTGAGATGGTAACCCCGGACCAGGCTGGCTGGGTCTTGTGGCACAGCCTCCTCTGCCGGTCATCTGGGAAGAGGACTCCTCTCCTCTACACCAACCAGTCCAGCAGGATGTCCAAGACAACAAGGTGCAGAGCTGGATGAACACAGCAGGCTAAGCAGCATCATAGGAGAAGAAAGGCTGACGTTTCGGGCCTAGACCCTTCATCAGAAATGTGGGAGGGGAAGGGGTCTGTGAAATAAATAGGGAGAGAGGGGGAGGCGGATAGAAGATGGATAGAGGAGAGGATAGGTGGAGAGGAAACAGACAGGTCAAAGAGGCGGGGATGGAGCCAGTAAAGGTGAGTGTAGGTGGGGAGTTAGGGAGGGGATAGGTCAGTCCAGGGAGGACGGACAAGTCCCTGTCGGTGAATTGCGATGTCGCTTTCTCTTTCTCGGACATCCTGCGGACATATCCTTGAACGAACAGGGCAGCTTCACAATGGAAATGCTCGTTCAGCTGCACAGCAACATTTGAAAAATGGCATGGGCACAAGTGGTGCAAACATTTAGGCAGATAACCGCTGAATGCTGAGTTGTTGTGGGAAGGGTACTTGGTAAGACAGGGTGGAAATCAGATGTGAGAGATAGAATATAGAACAGTGAACATAGAACAAAGAACATAGAGCATAGAACAGTACAGGCCCTTCGGCCCACGATGTTGTGCCGACCTATTATCTTACTAAGATCAATCTACCCTGCATGCCCTACATTATACTATCCTCCGTGTGTCTGTCCAAGAGTCGCTCAAAAGTCTCTAAAGTATCTGACTCCACTACCACTGCTGGCAGCGCATTCCACACGCCCACCACTCTCTGTGTGAAGAACCTACCTCTGACATCTTCCCTATACCTTCCTTCAATCACCTTAACATTATGCCCCCTCGTAATAGTCATTTCTGCCCTGGGAAAAAGTCTCTGGCTATCTACTCTATCTATGCCTCTCATCATCTTGTACAAAGATACTGGGATGATGTTGGCGATTAACAAGGTGAGTTTAGTAAGGTACAGTGAAAGAGCTCACCGGGTCTCACAGCGACAAACCCTGATAAAACCTAAAGCACCTCAGATTTCACCCAAAAAAAGCATAGGATTCAGCCCCAGGTTTTCCTTCCTGGGAGTTATATGGGAATTGTGAGACAGCTGGTGTTCCAACTATTTTGTCCTATGCTACACCACGCCAGTTTGTGAATCATTGGGAGTAATGTCCTCCTGAACTACAACTTTTTAGTAAGGTCTTAACTATAAATTAAACGCAAAGATCCTTTCAGGTTAAGCTTCATACAAAGTCAGACCAGACTTCTATCTTATAAATTGGGCTGTTTAGACCTGTTAATCTGTTTATATTTTAAATGAATGATTACTTCTATCCAACTAGTGGTCAAAACAATTTAACACGATTACATTAGATATTCTAATACTTACTGGGAAAAATCCATGCGAAAGCATAAGATTCGATTTAGAAATTCCAAATTAATGGTGCTCTTTAAGCAATGCTTTTGACTACTGGCCATTTTCCTTTTCTTGTGCCCTGGGCTACTATCAAGGAATTGTATCCTCAAATATAACTTCAAGTGCATAAAGTCACCAAGAAAAGGGGAGGGTAAAACATTTCCTGTAGTAGGAAAAAGACTTGTATTTATAAAATACTTGTCATCACCATTAGAACTCTTAAAGTGCTTTACAGACGATGAAATACTTTCCTAAAGTGTTGAAGCGAACGCAACCCAGCAGCCAAACAAAAGCAAAAAACTACCACCAACAGCAATCTGATAATGCTCACAAAATCTGTTGTTGTGATACTGATCAAAGGATAAATTTCAGCCAAGACCACTGGGATACCTCCACAATTCTTCTTCAAAACAGTATCATGGGAGTTTTTACATGCGCCTAAGAGATTTAACGTCTGACCTGAAAGATTGCGCCTCTGACAGTGCAGCACACCCTCAGTGTTAGCCTTAATCTTTCTGTGTTCAAGTTCTACAGTGAGAATTGAACATTCCAAAAGTCAGAGGCAAGAGTGCTACGAAAGAAGGAAGAAGGAGAATCTGGAAAAGGACTACAGTAGAATAATAGATGTACAGTATAGAGAAAAGTTATCTAGTGGTGATAACATTTAATAAGTAGATAAAGTCGCAGAGTAATTCTTACGTAAAGAAAATCTTTATCAGTGGTGGAGTAAACTAACATCAACATGGAGGACTGCAGTGGTTCAAGAAGGCAGATCACCACCGCCTTCCCAAGGGCTACTAGGGACAGGTAATAAATGCTGGTCATCCAGCGATACCACAAATGAATAAAAAAAACTGTGGATGCTGCCATTTGAATCATACAAGAAGGAAGCTTGATTCCTTCTTTGCTGATTCAACAGGAAGCTCTAGATTGAGAACCGAGATAACACAGTATGGAGCTGGAGGAACACAGCAGTCCAGGCAGCATCAGAGGAGCAGGAAAGCTGACATTTCGGGTTGGGACCCTTCTTCAGAAAAG